TGATAAATAAATAAAAACTTAGTATGTCACAGTTTATCTCTCTGAACAATGGGGCGGACAATATCACAAATGTTCAATACGGCCTTTCTTTAGGATACCGACAAACTCAATAAATTCAAGATAATGCTCAGGAATAAGTTCCAAGCCTTTCATGATCTACTCAATGGGGAAGAAACTACTATGGAGAGCAACTGGAAGAGGATCAAGTAAACAATCACTTCAACATGTCATGGGGTCCTAGCCCACAAAAAGCACCATCACATGGAATGGATCACTGTCGATAAACTGGATATGATTCAAGAAAGGAGGAACAAGAAAGCAGCAATCAATATCAGCTGAACAAGAACAGAGAAAGCCAAAGCACAATCGGAATACACAGAAGTAAACAAACAAGTGAAGAGGAGCATCAGAACCAACAAACGTAAGTACATGGAAGATCTAGCGACGACGGCGTAAAGGTCTGCAAGAGAAGGAAACATGAGACAACTGCATGATACAACAAAGAAACTCTCTGGAAATCACCGTAAACCAGAACGACCTGTGAAAAGCAAGGAAGGCAAGGTAATCATCAACATTGAAGAACAACGAAACAGGTGAGTAGAACACTTCAAAGAACTTTTGAATCGACCAGCTCCACTGAACCCACCCAACATCGAAGCAGCACCCACGAACCTCCCAATCACTGTCGGCCCACCAGCAATCGAAGAAATAAACATGGCCATCAGAGAAATCAAGAGTGGCAAAGCAGCAGGACCGGACAACATTGCAGCAGAGGCACTGAAAGCAGACGTAGCGGCAACTGCAAGGATACTCCACATTCTCTTTAGCAAGATTTGGGATGAGGAACAAGTACCAACAGACTGGAAAGAAGGACTACTGATCAAAATACCGAAGAAAGGCGATCTCAGCAAGTGTGATAACTACAGGGGCATCACTCTTCTTTCAATACCGGGAAAAGTCTTCAACAGGGTATTGTTAAACAGGATGAAGGACTGCGTAGACGCCCAACTTCGTGACCAACAGGCAGGATTCCGAAAGGATAGATCGTGCACAGACCAAATTACGACACTACGGATCGTCGTTGAACAATCAGTTGAATGGAACTCGTTACTTTACATCAACTCCCTTGATTTCGAGAAAGCATTTGGCAGAGTGGATAGGAGAACATTATAGGATCTTATTCGACATTATGGTGTAGCTGAGAAAATCGTCAACATCATCCGGAATTCATACGACGGAATACAGTGCAAAGTCGTGCATGGAGGACAGCTCACAGACTCATCCAGAGTAAAGGCCGGTTTCAGAGAAGGTTGCTTACTCTCACCCTTTCTCTTTCTCCTGGTTATCGACTGGATCATGAAGACCTCAACATCTGGAGGGAGCATCGGATAGAGTAGACAGCTAGGATTCAGCTGGACGATTTATACTTCACAGATCATCTGGCTCTTCTATCCCAAATGCAACAACAAATGTAGGAGAAAACGACCAGTGTATTTATTTTTTTAAATTCTCGTCGTTTTAATTTGAGTTGGAAACTTAAACCAGTGGATATTTATTTCATGGTCTATGGATAGATGTTCTAAAGCTTTAGTATCATAATACTTTTAATTCATGACTGCTGGTGTTTTGCTTGTGTTAGTTCATGTGATTACAACAGTCCTATTTTTTTTAAGTGAGTGTGGAGCTATCAGTTTTTATGAAATTTTAGGTGTAAGATGTTTTTGTTTCGTCAAAATGTTGGATTTTTTTGATGTGGTAAATTAGACTTTTACTGGCAGTTGTTCGATTAGTGGTTCTAGAATTAGAATAATTTCTAGAATCCTAAGTGGTTTTCTATGAAAATTTACTTTATTCCTTTCTCTCGGAGAGTGATTTCATGGTCGCTTGCTTATCTCTATGAGAGATTATGAACGATTCTTCAACCATTAGAACTAGATGTAATTGTTAAGATTTTCTTTTTCTTGAATCTATTCATTGTTTGTTTGTTGGCATTTCGACATATTTGAATAATAACATTCTCTCTCTATAAAAATGCTAACAATGGTGATTTTACAAGCAAACAAAAGGAGTGGCAATGAAATCCTTCATGTCTTCGGTTGTACCCAATCTGTTCATGTTATATATAGAATCAAATATTTTCGGCAATGACATTAAACCACGAATTTGTCCCAGATATCTGGATGATAATTTTATCGTTGTGAAAACACCTTTTCTACGAATGTTTTTCTAAACTAATCAATGCACTCTCATCAACATTAAATCTACCTACCAGCATGATATTAAACGCGGTCACATATCATTTTTAGTTAGAAGAAATCTAAGTGGAGCTCTTAATCTAATGATCTTCCGAAAACTAACTCACTTGAATCCTTCTGTTAACTTCAATTCAGCACATTCATTATGTGCGTACATCTCTCTGGGCAATTTAATAATTTTCCTATAAAGATTATTAAAATTGCAATAAAACGAGTTGAGTTGCTGCTAAGTAGTAGTTCGAATGAAATACAATGGATGATTACTGTAGTTATACCATGCCTCCATAGTACCACAGAACTCCAAGGATTCTTATAACAACACAGAATTAAAGCATATTACAAAACAACTAACTCCCTTCGAAATATTATCGTTCGTACAGAGGATAAGATCTCTTTTATGTCAATATAGAATTATGTTTACGTATTAGAATGTGTCGATTTTAATGCCTTTCATATTGGAGAGTCATCTCGTGAAATCTTGATTCGAGCCAAAACACAGCTTGTTTTCCGCACAAAAATTAGTTTCCATGTTTTGTATTCATAATAGCCCGTCAGTTTTGCTTTTCATTCATTTTTCTATTTTTTCATATTTTCTGTCAAGCATTGAGCATGCTTTAATCCAGTCTATGTCCCGCTAACAACGCGTATAATCGGAATTCGCCGAAATTATTTAATTTTTAGGCATTAACCAAAATATTACAAGAACTCAGTTTTGTAAATTTCATATTCACTGTTTCATTTTGCTTGTATCATATCTGCTAAAGATTTCTGTATTCGGAATACGTGTCTTTGCATCTGTACATTAAAGATTTTTTATCTCAGTTAAATTATTCAAAATTCAGTTCATGTAGGAATCCGGCTTTCATTTACAGCTGATTGATCACTGGGTGGTGATCAAGGTCATGTGTGTCAGGTCCTATCGACCAAAAATCCGGCTTCATTTATTCAATAATTTTGTGATTACTTTAGACCACCTTTAGTTCTTTATTTACAAGGCTGTTTGAAAGCATGTTAATCTCTTTTCTAGAAACTTTTTTTGGGCTTATTATTTCTCTTTATATACCTTGAAAAATCAAATTTTTCATCAATTTTTTTATTGTTTACTTGTATGGAGCTATTCGTTGTTAGAAAAAATCGCACACTATTTCTCGAGTTATTAATTTAAAATTCTTGCCTTACTGATCGCTATAATAAGTTTGCGTAGATTTTGACTACATATAGTCGTTTAATAATTTCAGCTCAACATTCTCAGGTTTCCTAATCTTCCCATTCATTTGTGACATGTCCACCAGATCATTTTACACTAAATCTCCTTTAGAGTTTTTTAAAAACAGCTAATTATAAATGTTCATAGAATAATCATTTATCTTCATCGTTACACTGATTGTAAGTTTATATGTCTTTACGATAAAATAACATCTATTATGATTATTAATAAAACGTTTCTATGCTAGTCAAATGCACTTTCTCACAGTTCTTATCGTTTGTTCCCTTTTATATTATACTGTAAAATAAATGGAATATCTGTTTGCTAGAATATATTTTAAAAGGATATGTATCACTAGCCTGTACTAAACTTTTGTTTATTTGTAATAACTACGGAAAAAGTGTTTTTTTCGCTTTAGGTAAATTGAATATTATTATTTTCACTCGCAATCACGTTTGTCTAATTTTCATATTATAGCTAAATGGTATTTTATAATTCCATAAATGTCAACTGAATTGTTATCATTCTGTACTGTTTTTCTATATTATTTAAATTATCAGGGTTGTTTTTGTTTAATAATACTACTTTTTCTGATGAGATTCTGTGGAAACTAATCCACTCTTATGATCGTCTACTACTTTTTGTACATATATTTATTAAGTTGTGTATGCATGCATTCAGTATCATATACTGTATACGATATTCCATTCTGTGTGTGAGCTTCCTGCTAATTTCTCTCAGTTTAAGGTAGATAGATATATGTTTGTGTGAATATAATGATGCTAACAGTGAAACCTCATTCTTTTTGTTACAATATATACCAAATCACTTATTTATGCGGTTTGTTCTTTCTACTTTGTCCACAAAAAATCCCATTTTTTTACGAGAATAGTAAAATGAAAGTCCCCTTGGGGAAATTCGCTTTTTCTTCCTCGAATATATATATTAATTGCGATAACTTCTTTTGATATTTTTCACTTATACTTAATGAGATAAAATAAAGAATTTAGTAAATAACTTTTATAAAGAAATTAAATTCCTAGCATGTGTCACATTACAAACTACCCTGTGTTTAACACAAGATTGTATTGCTTAGACATGAATGCGCTTCATGTGATTTCTGTTTCATTTTGTTGCTATTGGTTTTTGAATTTATTCATTTTGATACACCTATCTATAATACAAAATGTTGAGGCAAAGAAACGTTGATCAATTTACGTTCCAGAAAACTGACTTCACTGAAGTTATATACGTTTTTAATTCATTGGAAATAAATAGGAAAAAGATTTATTGATGAGAAGAAAGGTCTTTTCCGTACGAGAAAAAGGAAATCGTTTATAGATATGGTAATTTAGATTGTCTTTGATTGATGCCAACTCTATATATGGTCAACTTTTGATACCAGCTTACTAGATATCAAAATTGTGTAAAAGTACATGAGCAATACGATGTTTAGATCATAATGTGTTTATTATCTTCATCATGGATCTTCAAGTGTGTTGAATTTGTCATTAATTTTGACATCTTTTTTACTTTAGCGAACCATTCATTATCTTTTCTGGTGGTGGCCGTTCTCCTGGAGCTCAAACTGTCATTCATTCATCAGTAGCTACTACTAATGTCTCCTCGACGTCGTTACCTAATTCAGATCCATCTGAAAATGATCCAAATTTATCATCATCATCATGTATGGTTTCTAGTAATCATATGTTGACTATCAAAAGAGGCAAAAAGTTGGTTGTTTTACAATTGGATCATAAACTTGTTCAATTTACAACTCTTTGTATGTCTCCTTACACAAGTGGTACGTAATGAATTTCTCACTTTTCTTTTCTTTCTATTGCTATCGATTGATTGAATTCACTGTCCAAATTAAATTATTGAATAGGTATTCTTTATGTGAGAACTTTTATTTACATGTCTCTTCGGAATGACTGCCTGTGTACGATTACTTGTTATTGAGCTGAATAATTTTGATTTTGATGCTAGCCGGTGTTGGGGATGGTTGTAAGAAAGTTAGGGGCGACCAATCCAAAACATGGCACCAGTGCTTGAAGTTAATAACTTCTAGTCTGAACCATGTTGGTAGATGCAGACTACTTGGTTGTGGTCCGTGTGACTATCGATACCAGTGGTTGGAGACTGTGGGTGACATGACTCAGGATCTATCACAATGGCGTAGTTGTATATACTCTTGGTCTTCCCTTAAACTATGAGATTAAAGTCGCTTCATATCTTTCATTCTACGAACTAATTCTTTCTTCCTGTACTATGTTCTTATATGCAATCTTTCTATTATATATTACCACCATTGACTTAACTACTTCTATGAATTTGGTGTTCATCTTGTTGTGCTAATGAGGTATGGCAACTTGGACCGATGCATATATGTGTCTGATCCGACGTTGTAGCTGACTAACTGGTACCTGATATTCCAAGTTGCAATCGAGTTACAGATTTATTTGCTTTGAGTTCAATTGCTTCATAAACTGCCGTATAGTTGACTAATATTGTATCGTCATTCAAGCAAACCAGTATATGGTGACATTTCCATTTGTTTTGTTAAACAAAATTATTTTATTAAAACTGCTTAGTGATACTGTTTTATTTGTGCTTAGTGAAAACAAAGATGAGCTACAAAATTACGTTTGTTTATAATCTAACCTTACTGCTCGATCCCTATTTATTCCATATCTAGAGATACATTTCCTTAAGTAACATCGGAATGAAAAGATATCACGCCTTATATGCGGCGGGCTATTTTTTAAACGAAGTATCTATTCTTGAGATGCATTTTCTGTTTTGCTTTTCGTACATATATTTTTCTGAAGGATTTTATGGATAAAAATGTTCCAACAATCATTCTGTCAGAATGTTAAGAACACTAACTAGAAGTGTCACGTTATTTGTTCACATTTGTGATTTGCATTCGTTTTACTTATTCTATTCTTACTTAGACAAGAAATAAAGTAATTTAACGATGCATAATGTTTGTCCCCTGCTGGTTTGAAATCATGTTTGGTTCCTCTAGAAGGTACAACCGTATTGATAAAATCCTTGTAAACGCGCACTTACGAGATACAAGGAAACGACTTATACACGACCACAAGTTATTCACAATTTAATTACTGCTATAATTAATGATATTTGGCAACTTAAATACAGTAGAAAAAATAGGAAACATTTTGACAATCAACTTTGGGAATTTATACCGTGCTAGGAAAAACTTAATTATAAATTCAGCTTAAATTATTTCTTGCAGACATGAACACATTAAAATATATTTCGTCCTAATATTATTGTCTCTAATCAGTAAAATTGTACAAAATATTCAGTTTTTCCTTGTATTTGTATAAAGCGAGGTTTAAGATAAAACTGTATTTTTAATTAATTGCTTTCTGTCTGGTTGTATACGCATGATGAAATGTCTAAACTACGTGCTAGTACAGACCACCGGTTAATATAAGCCGCGTGCTTCATCTTATTTTTCACTCATTAGATGGATAATACTTACATCTAGTTAGCTGTTGATACTTATCTGGAGACTCGGACTTAACACTACTGACGAAACATTAAACGCTATCAAAGTAATCACTATCTAATGTGAAGCTGCATTCCAAATCTTTTCTAATACGTTTACATTCTGATCGGTAATATTAATACTTATTCTTTTTTCAGAGACAATGGATCCTTATGCAGTTGCCATATTATTACAAGAAGATCTTGTTGTTATTGATCTTTTATCTACAAAGTAAGGATACTGATTGTTTTTTCTAAGTATCTTTTAGATTTCTTTTAAAATTCCTGTGAATATACTTGAACCATTTACCATATTTGTTTTTAATTTTGAAGCTTCGCAACATTCGAAAACCCATATCCAATGGATTTGCATAGTTCTCCTGTCACCAGCTGTTTATATTTAGTTGATTGTCCTGGAGACTTGATACCTGCTTTCTATTCTGTTAGCAGTCGTCGGAATCGTACTCAAAGTGGCACGTGTGCCGAACCTGATGTATTCAGCAGTCGCGAATGGCCTATTACTGGAGGAGAATGGAGATTAAGTAATCAACAAGTTCCTGAATTAATCATAACGGGGTATTTGATCAATAATATTGTACTTTATTGCGTTCAGTTATTTTTCTGTTGACTTTTATACTAATTGTTCCACTATTCGGTATACAAAAATATTAACGAAGGGAAATCAGTGTAGTTACCTTGTTTGAGCTTCTACATCCATTACTATTCTGTTATGACAATTACGTTTAAATTTGAGTAACGTCTGCAGATTCAATCTTCTTTCCTCAGTTAGGATGGTATAATTGCCCTAAAATATTTTCTACTAAGTACTGTTGCATTGAGATTTTGCATCTTGAATAAGTCAGCACCCAGTTTCTGGTAATTTTCAGATATTCCTGTTTACGAATGGTTTGATTGTGATTTATAATGTTTATAAAAGTAATTGATTATTCGGTACCATCACTCAAGTCAATTACTAAGAGAGTTCACCAATATCAAATCTCTAATCTTATGAAAAGTAAAAGTATGTGAGATAGGTTAGTTCGTTTCATGATAATTAAAATAAGTATATCATTAAGCCATCTATCCATTATGGATATCGTCCTCTTTCAGTAATTTCGTGAAGCTTTTCATTTATCTTGCATGTGACAAAAATTATTCAGTTTTATTGGATGGAAAGTGTATTTATTTTTTAGATCTAACATGCGTCTTTGCTTACAAAACTGAGTAAGGAAGGTGATGTAGACAATCGTTAATAGTTGATAGTAAAGGAAATCATTTAAGTTTCCTTTTGGTGTATCCCTTTACATTAATTACCACTTATTTGCAGCTCTGCTTTGAACAATCAGTTCTAACCACTCATTCATTTTTGATGGATTGAAATGAGTGGGTAATGCTGTCTATTTTCATATTAAAAATTATATTATCAGTTGGTATTAGTGAAGTGTGTATATATTATTAGAATCTGGTATACATGAGCAACATACCAACTTATTAGATAACATTAAAGTTGTGTGAATGGATTCGTGAACAAAAGCACACGGGTTATATCACTTTTATTTTTCACTGTAGAAAAAACATATTAAAATTGTCAGTAGACAAATCATTTGTTCATATATATCTTTAGTGGCTAAATGTTATCACGTAATACTAATTGTCTCAACATTTGCATCTATTTTATTATGTCGAATTGAGAGCAATGTTTTCTACGTAGAACAAACTGAAATGGATAATATTTACCCAACCATTTAAGACTAGAAGTTACTGTCCATGTAATACGGATTCTGTGCATTCATCTTTGAAAAATTCCTATTATTGGCTACAGGTGTAAAGTGTTTTGATTGACTTCCATTATGTTACATCTGTATCTAAGCATTAGACGATTACATTCGAATTCATATAAAAAGTTTTTCCATTAGTATTATACCACGAATTTAGAGAGGTTCAGACATTGTACTTAAGTGCTTTAGTTCATTAATTAGAAAAGGCATTGGATTCATTATTATTTTCTGTATAAACTGCCCCTAACAAATTATCACATTTTCCCTATGTGCATTTTATAGACATGCTGATGGATCTGTTCGATTTTGGGATGCATCGGAAGGTTTGTTTATATTTTTATTTACTTTACGTTGTTCTTCAATGTAACACTATTTCTTTGTGATCATTTCTACACTGATTGCTTCTGTTTACTCGCTCTACCTATGACTACCATTTATCGCTTTTCCACTCAAGTAGTTTTTGTCAATAAAATAGTAGTGAAAGTTTAAAATGCGCTTTCGGATTTCATTTTGTAAAACAAAATTGAAGTACTGGCAGTAAGAATCATCAGTAGTCCCGAACCGACCAAAATCATTTACGTACTCGGACGCGCATTTTAATTCATGAAAACATTCCTTCTGCGGTCAATCATATTAATAGACATCGTCTCAAATGTAGAGTAACTGCCCTTTTAAAACCACACATTCTGTCTCACGATTGATTATGCAAATTTGTACTTGGTTGTCGAAGTAGATTTTCTGGTGTTGTATTACAGATCTAGATTGGAACTAACTGATCATCCATATTGGCCAACTTCTGCATGTTTTCAACTAAATGAGAGTGGTTCAAATATCTAGTGTTTATTTTCTTGTTTAGGATAAAGGATGAAGTCCACAGTCATCCAAAACACCTTAGTATAAGGACTTCATTGCCTCAATATAAATAACACGTCCTAACTAACCGATTTAGTTCCCATTCAATGGTAAATTTCTTTTCGTAAAATAGAGCTGTGTACACAATCATGAATGGTTGATTTAAAAAAATACACATTGCCTGTTTACTTTCTATTGCGGTTTTGTTGGAATTTATATAGAGGTATGGTTCCTCAAGGTTTTGACTGTTATGATTTTAGCTCAATACACACTCATGGAATTTTGTTGAAAGAACAGTGTTTTATTCAACTCAGCTTTTATTGGTTTGATACTCACTTGACAATATGAACTAGAGTGGCCTTAATTCTCCAAGGTAACTAATTACCTTTAGAGTAAATAGTTAACGTGTTTCGCTTTTTCACCATATGTTATCCACAAATTCAAGCTCACAACCTTTTAAAACAAATTTTCTATTTTGATCTTTTCTAGTTTCGTTGACGCCACTTTATAAGTTTCGTACTTCGAAGTTGTTCGCAAACCCATCAACTAGTACATCTAATCCTGTTGAAACAGGCAGTACCTCACTTTCTGATGCAAAAGATACCAATGCTCAATATTCTTCGATTTTATTAGCAACTGAAAGCGATCCTTTTGCCATACATTTTATGCACTTCTGCTCGGATTCCCGTAAACTGTTAACTGCAAGCAGTTACCATACTTGTTTATTACACTTCAGTCGTCGAGAAATAAATCTTGAGACTGCAGTAAGTTATTTTAACCAAAGTGTTTTATTTCTAACCAAGAATCGTTTTCTAGTCATAGAAACATATCATTGTAACAAAAATCTGATCGTTTGGTTGTTGATATTATTAAGTCTGGTACGAATTCGCATCACTGCAGATTGCCGCACATCATACTGACACTGTAATGGAAGAATTCCAGTATGTTTGTCTATATTGAGTACATTTGTACTGACGTATCCAAATATTGTAAATATAAATGTTGTTTAAAGAAAAATGAGCTATTTATGCTCGTGAAAAATGTTAACCTGAATTGTTTACATCATTTATCTGTGTATCTAAATATATTTTCAAGCATTATTTAAGCATTTTGATTCTTAGTTTGCTTATGCGATAAATTAAGTTTGTCATTTCATTTTAGAACTAAAGCAGTTTATGAATAGTGTTTTTTTGTTAGTCATCCTACAATATAGTATAGTATTAGTACAGATTGCTGATTTTCATTTTCCTTTTATTTAATTTTTTCTATAATATTATTTAATGGATGGCTTTTAGATGAGTGCAACTTTTGAAATTTTTATCCGAAAACATGAGTATTGACTGTTTCATTCTGGATATGGTTTAATTCTGGTTACCTCTTACTGCTAGGGCTCCAGGATTTCTTCGGGTTCTCGACTAGCGAGCTCATGGTTATAACAGTTATGAGGAATTTTTATGAAGATATGTTTAATTTATTTATCGGGAGCTACCATTGTAAGCCGGGGAGCAACCATTAACTGTTTTGGTATATCACTAATTGATTTAAAGCGGAAATGTGTGTCAGCCGGTGATCTAGTCGTTGAGCTCACTCTACGTAACGTCAGTTTCTTGGGTTCTATCCTTGGCAGGGTCATTTTGCAAACTTACTCAATGTCTTATACCAGGACGAAACGATTAGTGACTGCAGTCAGCCTATGATGTGAATTTGGATTTTTTGTGAGGCTACATTGTGGCCTTTTACGAGCGAAATATCATTTGACTGATATGATCGTAGTCGTTGGTGAACGTATGACATGTTACTTAATAAATTAATTATGCCTGCTACTCCCCGTATTGGAGCATAGGCCATCCAACAGCACTCTCCATACAGCCCTGTCGTGAACAATTCTTTTCAGTTGTTATTCATATGTGCTTCTATTTCCAAACTTAATGGGTTCTTTAGCCTTCCTCTTTACTGCTTCACTTCGGGATTCCAAGCCTCGTGATGCCGTTTGTGGTGATTTCCATAATGTATGTCCTATCTACTTCAAACCGCTTTTCCTAATTCACTTTTCAGTTGAAAGTCGGTTTTTCATCTCCCACAGAAGGCTGTTGCTGATGACATCCGGTCGCTGGATATTGAGTTTTCTGTGAAGACAACTATTTATAAGTACTTGTACCTTCTTGATGATGGTTTTAGTAATTTCCAACGTTCCAGCCCCATACACTAGGACTGTCTTGACTTTCGTATTGAAGATTCTGACTTTGATATTGGTAGACTGTTGTTTTGAATTTCATATGTTTTTAAATTTTAGGAATACTATCCTTGCTTTACTGATCCTCGCCCATATGTCTGCATCAGATTCTCAACGTTCATCGATGATACTTTCCGAATGTTCGCCATCAAGTGTGATTGGATTTGTTGAAGTTCTCCGTTTTGTATTTGTGGATCTTGCTTTTTCCGTTGTGTATGTTAAGGCCTACTAATGCAGAGGCTGCTGCTACACTAGTTGTTTTCATCTGCATTTGTTCATGTGTATGGGATAGGAGTGCTTGGTCACTTGCGAAGTTCAAATCGTCTAATTGGTTCTGAGCTGTTCATAATATTCCGTGCTTTCCCTCATATGTCGTGGTCTTCATGATCCAGTCGATCACCAGGAGAAAGAGAAAGGGTGAGAGTAAGCAACCTTCTCTGAAACCGGCCTTTACTCTGGATGAGTCTGTGAGCTGTCCTCCATGCACGACTTTGCACTGTATTCCGTCGTATGAATTCCGGATGATGTTGACGATTTTCTCAGCTACATCATAATGTCGAATAAGATCCTATAATGTTCTCCTATCCACTCTGCCAAATGCTTTCTCGAAATCAAGGGAGTTGATGTAAAGTAACGAGTTCCATTCAACTGATTGTTCAACGACGATCCGTAGTGTCGTAATTTGGTCTGTGCACGAAGGATCCTTAAGGAATCCGGCCTGTTGATCTCGAAGTTGGGCGTCTACTGAGTTTCCCATCTGGTTCAGCAACACTGTTGAAAACGTTTCCTGGTGCTGACATTAGTGTGATACCTCCACACATTTCAAATTCGCTCAGATCTCCTTTCTGGGATATCTTGATGAGGCGTCCTTCTTTCCAGTCCGTCGGCACTTGTTCCTCCTCCAAAACCTTCCTGAATTGAATATGGTGCATGTTTGCAGTTACTTCTGTGTTTTAATTCAGTGTTTCAGCTGATATATTGCCATATCATGCTGCTTTTCCACTGTCGATTTGTCTGATGGCCATCCTGATTTCTTCGGTCGTTGGTGGAGTGACATCTATAGAAAGGTCTGTGCGTGTTGCTTCGATGTCCAGGGGGGGGGGGTTAATGGAACTGGTCTGTTCAAGAGCTGCTCAAAGTGTTCTACACATCATTCCTCTGCTCTTGAATCTCAGTGATTTTCTTCCCTTCTTTGTTCTTGACCGATCCCTCTTATTTACTATATCTCCCTATCAGTGTCTTCGTTTTATCATATAATTGTTTCATAATCCCTTTTGCCGCAGCTTTTTTTTGCTGTCGTTATTAGGCCTCTCGTCTCTAATGCTCTTCTTCACTTGCTGGTTTGCTTCCATGTATTCAGCTTGTGCTTTGACTTTGGATGTTGTTGTTCGGATGTTGTTATTTGCTGTCTTCTTGTTCTTCCTTTCTTGAATCTTGTCCGGGGTTTCGATAGAGATCCATCCCTAATTGATACAAATATGATGTATCTGGTTCTGTGTAGTGTGATTCGGTGGGATCCATGTAGCTTTCTGTATGCGTCTGTGTGGAAATATTGTGCTGCCTGTAAACAATTTTCTGAATGCACATAGATTTGCAAATCTTGCCATTTTCATTTCTCTCTTATAGTCGTATGACATATTTACTTTTACTTACTTACGCCTGTTACTCCCAATGGAGCATAGGTCATCGACCAACATTCTCCAACCCACTCTTACCTGGGTCTTCCTTCCTAGTTCTATCCAATTGTTGTTCATTCTCATGTCTGTCTCCATTTCTCGGCATAATGTGTTCTTTGATCTTCCTCTTCTCCTTTGGCCTTGAGGATTCTAAGTGAGGGTTTATCTTGCGACACAGTTGGGTGCTTTCCTCAATGTGTGTCCTATCCACTTCCAGCGCTTCTTCCTGATTTCTTCCTCCGCTGGGATCTGGTTTGTTCTCTCCCACAGTACGTTGTTGCTAATAGTGTCCGGCCAACGGATCTGAAGTATTTTGCATAGACAACTGTTAATAAACACTTGTATCTTCTGGATGATGGCTTTCGTAGTTCTCCAAGCTTCCGCCCCATACAATAGAACTGTCTTGACATTTGTATTGAAAATCCTGACTTGGGTGTTGGTTGACATTTGCTTTGAGTTCCATATGTTCTTCAGTTGTAGATATGTTGCTCTTGCTCTGCCGATCCGCGCATTCGCATCTGCATCAGATCCACCGTGCTCATCAATGATCCTACCCAGATATTTAACTGCTTTTACATCTTTCAAATCTTATCCATCAAGTGTGATTGGATTGGTGCATGCTGTGTTGTATCGGAGAATCGTGGTTTTCCCTTTACGTATGTTGAGACCTACTGCTGCTACACTGTTCGTTTTCTCCTACATTTGTTGTTGCATTTGGGATAGAAGAGCCAGATGATCTGTGAAGTATAAATCGTCCAGCTGAATCCTAGCTGTCTACTCTATCCGATTCTCCCTCCAGATGTTGAGGTCTTCATGATCCAGTCGATAACCAGGAGAAAGAGAAAGGGTGAGAGTAAGCAACCTTGCCTAACTCCGGTCTTCACTTCGAACGACTTTGTCAACTGTCCTCCATGCACGATTTTGCAGTGCAATCCATCATAGGAATTTCGTTTGATATTGACTATCTTCTGAGGCACGCCGTAGTGTCGAAGAAGTTTCCATATTGTTGTTCTGTTCACGCTATCAAATGCCTTTTCGTAGTCAATGAAGTTGATGTAGAGTGATGAATTCCATTCAATTGATTGTTCCACAATGATCCGTAGAGTTGCAATTTGGTCTGTACACGATCTATCCTTTCGGAATCCTGCCTGTTGGTCACGAAGTTGGGCGTCTACGCAGTCCTTCATCCTGTTTAACAATACCCTGTTGAAAACTTTTCCCGGTATTGAAAGAAGAGTGATGCCCCTGTAGTTATCACACTTGCTGAGATCGCCTTTCTTCGGTATTTTGATCAGTAGTCCTTCTTTCCAGTCTGTTGGTACTTGTTCCTCATCCCAAATCTTGCTAAAGAGAATGTGGAGTATCCTTGCAGTTGCCGCTACATCTGCTTTCAGTGCCTCTGCTGCAATGTTGTCTGGTCCTGCTGCTTTGCCACTCTTGATTTCTCTGATGGCCATGTTTATTTCTTCGATTGCTGGTGGGCCGACAGTGATTGGGAGGTTCGTGGGTGCTGCTTCGATGTTGGGTGGGTTCAGTGGAGCTGGTCGATTCAAAAGTTCTTTGAAGTGTTCTACTCACCTGTTTCGTTGTTCTTCAATGTTGATGATTACCTTGCCTTCCTTGCTTTTCACAGGTCGTTCTGGTTTACGGTGATTTCCAGAGAGTTTCTTTGTTGTATCATGCAGTTGTCTCATGTTTCCTTCTCTTGCAGACCTTTACGTCGTCGTCGCTAGATCTTCCATGTATTTACGTTTGTTGGTTCTGATGCTCCTCTTCACTTGTTTGTTTACTTCTGTGTATTCAGTTTGTGCTTTGGCTTTCTCTGTTCTTGTTCGGCTGATATTGATTGCTGCTT